AGTGTAGCTGTTCCATTACTGTATATCGTCTTCAGCATAATACAATAAATGAATAAGCATAGCACAAACATTGTATCCAGTGTTATTAGTCATGAGCTATGCAAACCACGAAAGCCGATTGATTTGTTGCGAGGGACAATTTTTCTCGACTCTGTATTGCTTTGTATTTCTCTCGAAAAGCAAAATGAATTTCCTATCCTAGTATCATTCATTTTTATTTAGAGCCTTTCTGTCTTTACTGGATTCAGTCCACCAATCTTTCCAATTTCTTTCTTTTTAAAAAATATTCGTTGTTGTTGTTTTTTTTTAATGTTTAAATATATGTAAAGTGCATAGAGCTTGCTTTCGAGTGGGGACATGCGCTATACAAATGCTATTTATTATTAGTATTATTATTTTATTTTTTTCCCACATGTATTAATATCAGTGTTGTTGTTGCTGTTGTTGCAATTGCTGTTTTTTTTAATTTCTCTCCGTTTTATTTTGTTTTGTTTTGTCTTGTTGGTTTTGCCTTGTCTTGTTTTGTTTTTGTTTCTTGTCCGCTCTACCCCTCAACCCCCCCCCCTTTCCTCCAAATCTATCAAACAATGACCTTCAGGTGCTGGTCACCTACTACCCTGGTGGCTTCTGTGGTGTAGACAAACAGGGCTCACCCGTGTCGTATGAGATGCTAGGCCTTTTGGATCTGATGGGCATCATGGCATCCGTCTCAAGGCAAGATCTCTTCAAGTACAGACTTTACCAGTATGAGCTTATCACGAAGGAGCTCAAGGTAGGAAGTGTTGTGAACAAAGGTGTAAAAAGTACAATATATTACATGTATTGTTGTTCCAGTGAATGTATATTATTTCCTACGTGTGTGTGTGTGAGTGTGTGTGTGTGTGTGTGTGTGTGTGTGTGTGTGTGTGTGTGTGTGTGTGTGTATACACATGTACACCTAAAATATCACGTAATATAATATAACGCACAAGCCCCCAAGTACCGCTGACTCTAAGAACTAACAAAGACTAAGTAACTAGAGAACGGAACGACATCAACAAATCGCAAAGCTTGAGAACAGAATAGGCATGAAACACGATAACAGAGGCCTAATGTGCCGGGCTGATATCCCGTCATCCACCCTTTCCGAGGGCAATATCTGCTATTATCTACACAGTTCGATAACCGCATCTGATCCTAGTGGCTACATTCTTGTCGTATTCGTCTCGTATTGGGGAAAAACAGTCGTCTCGTGACGACCAGTTATCGCTCGACTCTGAGCCACAGAATTTGGAGAAATACAGACGGCCTGTTTTCAAATGTAAGT